GGCAAGGCATGCCTCAGTCCTCTCATCTTAATTTCTTGTCCTTTAATTTCTAAATTAAATGAGCTTTACTCATAGGACTTTCTTTTCTGCTCTTTACTTATTTTAGATTCCCCTTGGAACCTTGTCCAGTTTCTTCACATACTTTATAAAATGAGTAATTATTTAAATTTGCTGGTGATGCATCTCATCCTCTCCAAACTCCACTAATATATGTAGTAAATCTGATATTTAAATGCTTTCTGCATGGCGACCAATTGGTCAAAACCAGTGCACCATTTATGGGTTACTTACAGGTAATTAAAATAAAAGCTATAATTTAATGAGCACTTCCTGTGTGCCAAATACCAAATATTTTACTTTTGAATCCTGACAACTCTAACAGGTAGATTATGATCCCTATTTTTTACAGGAAGGGCCTCAGTTAGATGATCACAGATCTTGATTCTGATTCTAGAGCCAGTAACACATTAGAATGCTTTAAAGATATAAAACCACATACTCAAACATGCACAAATTACAAGTTGTGTGTGTGGTAGCTACCACAAGTCTAGTTTTCCTGAAATTGCACTCTGAGGTGAGAATTTGCATGCAGAAATTTTGCTGTTGCAGGCTCTTGGGCTGAACACCTGTAGGAGAGTGGCCAGAACAGGGCATGGCAGTGGGAGAAGCTGGGCTGGCTTCTATGCAGCCACCACAAAGCCCAGCCACACACACAGATACCACACAGATCTTGGTCCAGGGCAAGGGCCAGGGTGTCCCCAAGTGGGCCAGTAGTTGATAGTGCATCGCCTGAGACAGTGGGTGTACTGTTAGTGAGCAATTCTACTTAGTGAAGGCTGGTGGGCAATCACCAAAAGGAGGGGAGCAGTAGGAGATCTCACCTGTCAACACTCACAGAAGCTGTCTCAGTCCTGACTGGCAAAAGGGACCTGGGTGGTACATCAAGTTCGAAGACAGTGACTTTATTTTCTGATCATATCTTAGGTTATGGTTCTGTATGCCTGTTTGTGGGTTTCAAGTCTTCAATGCCAGAGAAATCAAATAAATAGACTGAACAAGAAAGAGAACTGCAAATACAATTTTGGTTTATGTGTATGAGGAATATCTGCCTCGCCTTTCAGTCTCTCTTTGTCTCTTTCCAACACTCTTTTTCTCTGTCCCTGTTCTGTAATCATAGCCTGCATGAGACACACACACCAATATCATAACTCTTTTAACAAAACATGAAAACCTGGATTAAAAAAAAGGGGAAAGAGAAGAGGAGAGAGAATATCTTGAAATTTTGGTAATAGATAATTACTACCCAGTGGATATTGTCATTTTGGAATGATATTAAGTATGATAATATAAATGTCCTCAAAGTAAAAGTGGTTACAAAGAATAAATAAGCCCTGTCAGGGCCCTCCCTGGTGGCACAGCAGGTTAAAGCATTAAGAAGCTAAAGTCACTTCATCGTGAGTTTGATCCCCACCCTGGTGGTGACCCACATGGTGCAGCAGACCTCTCCTGACCCACACACTGCTCCCTTCAGCAGGGTACTTTGTCAGTCAGCCTGTTCTGCTCCCCCACTCTCTCTCTGGTGAATCTTCTCACCGCCCCTGCACCTCTGGACTCTACCCCAGTTCTGTATGCATAAATAAATAAATCTTAAAAAAAAAAAAAAGCCCTATCAGTTCTGCATTCTCAGTGAATTTTTTAATCTTCAACCTTTCCTTATATATTTCTATTTTCTAAACCACATTAAAAAATCATAATGCCTAAGGATTGCCCTGGCCTTTAAGAAATTGCACAGATACAAATACTTGTGAAGAGGAAATGCTACTTCCATTTTGCATTTTATAATGAGAAAAATCAAATGTTTTAAAAGTTTAAGATCAAAATCATCCATTATTTTTATTTGTCTATTATGTAGAGGTTTTTAAAAAGCAAGACAGTCAACAACTAGCAAGAATGGTTGATTAAGGCATGAATTTGAAATAGATCTCCCAGGGATAACAAATCCAGTTTATATTATGGGAAAATGTGAAGAGTCATTAATTCATATTATGCTGCCTTGCTATTCTATTAATGCATGCAAAAATAAATTCTCTAGTCACCATTTTAATTTTAACACAAGCAGGAAGATATTAGTGTAGAAGCTGGAGTTCAAAGAGCTAATAATAAACCTGAATCAAGAATATTTTCAAAAGTACCCAAACAACAAAAGGCAGTGGAAAGTGAAAATTCAAATGTAGTAGAACATTATCTGATCAGAAATCCGTTGTCATTGTTCTCTACTGAAATGACCCACAAACTGCTGATGCAAAGTCTATGACCTCTATGGCGGGACTCAATGTATATCAAAAGTTGGTGGCTCAGCATTTTCTCTATTCTTTCTTTTTAAAATCCCACACTACAGAAGGGCAGAGGCTAACACATTTTACTGTTAAATATTATTCAAGCCCACTGGAAGGCTGCCCACTCAAAGGTGTCACTCTGCCAGCTCACACATGGGGTCTGGCTTCTGGTAGGAGTTTTCCTGCACAACCTCTGCCTGCAGAATTCTGGGCACTAACCACACGGTTAAAGGAAAGCAACATAAACACTGCTTCAAACCTTAATCCTTGCAAGTGGCTATTCCAAGACTAACATAGACTCTGTCCACTGCTTTGTTTGTATAACAGCTCTAGCAGCACACACTTTGATATCTGTGCAGACAACAGTCATCCAATGCTGCAGAATTCTACTCTGCCCAGGAAGAGAGTTCAGACAAATCACCACCCCACCAGTGCCACAAAAACAGTGGTGACATGTCCTTTGGCAGCATCATAGTGCTTGTGCTCACTGCCTACAGCAGCCTGCATACCTTCCCACCCCTGCTCATGTCCTTCTGCCCACTGTCACCAAGTCATGCAGACAGCGTCTCCCCACAGATCTAACCCCTTAGCGAATGAAGGGGCATTCACCTGCTTCCCACATCCATGTTACACTGTTTCTACTGCTGGCCCATAAAACAAACTGTCAACAGCTTATCCGTATATATCGGTCACACAAAGAAGAATATGAATGAGACAGAAAAAGACACAGACAGAAAGAGGCAGATAAAGAGAGCGACTGAACTAGGGACACATATTCCTTGCATCCTGCACATAAACAAATGCAAACTCCTATTGTTACTGGCAGCTTTCAGGGTGAGTGAATCACGTTTTGTACACCACCCTGGCGATTTACAGCCCACTGGTTTCACAGCAGTGACAGACCATTTGTGAATTTCAGAGAACAATTCATTGTCCTTGAGACCACCTACAACTTGCATGTATCTGCATCACTCAAAGTTACACCAACTCAGCATTTCTATAAATTCCCTGTACACATAAAATTCATAGGCTATTGCAAATTACTTAGACAATTCAGAAATGTCCTGTGTTTAAAAGTACTGGTTATAAAATAATTGATGAGTATCTTTTTTTATTTCTCGATGTATGAAAGTCCTTTATTTTAAAGGGGGGAACAAAATGGAAAGCAAATCGGATATTTCAGCAAACTGGGTTGCCAGTACTTGCACTGTTAGTGAATGTGCATAATATATACTGTTACTAAAAGTACACAGTAGGGTGAAACTGGCTTGATAGTGGATGTTGAAGTGATGGTCCTTTCTCAACTATAAACACAAATGGTTTTCTCTTCTAATCTTTCATTTGAGTGGTGGGACCAGCATAGTAAAACACAGGCTATCAAAAGCAAATTCCATGTCAGAAAATTTCAATTATAAAAATTAAAAATAATAAAGTCTTCACTGGAACCCAATGAATTAAAATAAATTCTGTTTGTTAAATGTACAGGGATTAACCAAACCAAGTTCCATCAGTGTAAACCAATTTAATTAAAACACCTATTTCAAAAAACATAGAAAACTTTCATAGATCAATAAAGATTTGGAAAAAGAAAAAAACTGTTAAGGTAGAAAGGGCAGAATGAGTTTGATGAGGAAGGTTCTGGTTCTGACTGTTAGTATTAAGTAAGTTATTTAGTTTAGCTTTGAATTAATTCTTTTGTGTATAAAAATGAAAGTGATCAATAAGTTGATTTTTTAAAGTTTCTGGAAATATTTAGTGGAATGAATTAGAAAAAATATAAAGGGAGTATTCTGTAACTTTCCAAAAGTCTTAAGAAAAAAAATCACTAAGCTAATTAAGATCATAGTAATTAAATAAAACTCACTCAAAATAGTACTATTGTGAGTATTATTTGAATTTAAAATTTTTACCCATGTCATTCCCTCAAAGAAGGCTCTGAGTAATGTATTTAAAAATCTAACTCTGGTAGATTTGATCTCAAACAGAGCAGTCTCTGTTAGAACAGTTCCCCTAACCATGCTCCGGGTCATAGCTGGGAAAACCCAAAGGGAGGGCCATGCTCTGCTCTCACAGAAGCAAGAAAGATCCTTCTGGTTTCCCATAAGCAGTGCTAGTATCCTGCCAGAGCACTGAAGTCAAGAATCCAAGAGAACACATACCTTATGCCGAAAAAGACCTAAACTTTGGAAAGCTGAGCACCTTGAACAATATCTGTGAATTAAAATGGAGAGTGGGATGAGAGTTTCTCCTAAATTTTAGGAGTTTAAGGTTCATATTTTTTTTTAAGTACTAGTTTAAAAACTGATCTTCCTTTCTTCAAACTAGAAAACCTATGATATTTCATGAGGTAGATATGAAGGTTCATAGGGAAACTAAATACATAAGAAATTTCTCTGAAAAGAAAAATGTTAGTTAATTTTTAGGGGATGTGTGTTCAAATAAGTCATCACAGATCAGAAGCTATAACTTTAAATAAATTCTTACTTGGTCAAAACCATCCACTGACTGCCCTCATAACTATTAAAATATTCTCCTAGAAAAGAAAAACTCTCTTTTTTTTTTAATAGAGAATTTTAAGTGACACATTCCTCTATGCACTCTTTTCCATGAAGCATAGACCAGCAAATTTAGGCTTTGGAAGACAGAAAGGAGTGATTCACTCACCTTCAGAAGATTCACTGCACCAAAATTCTTCTGACTGTTTCCCTGATTTTTGAGGCTGTCCTCCTTTCTCAGGATAATGTCAACAGTTGAGAGCAGTTTGGGTGAAAGTCTTCAGCCAAAAGGAATAGGGAGTGCTGAAGAAGAATACCACAAAGACTCCTGACGAGAGGGAAAAACACAGAACAGTGCAAGTTGTTTTGGGTTAATTAATTCTATGAAGCTGAGATTTCTTTCTACTTCCTACTCAAGTTGACATGGGAGAACTTAATACATAGTAAATTCCATAGTTAACGTTAGCCAAGTATTACTGTACTTGAGGACACCAACGTCTAAGAAAGGTTAAGCAACTGAATGGCAACAGGTAATGAAAAAAGGAAACATAATTCCAGTTCCATTTTGGTATAGAATAGAAATCTGAAAGACCCTTAATAGCAGGAAACAACTGTGCCACAAATGAAAAATGAAAAAGAGGCATTTGATCTTATTCTACTCTCATTCTTCATGGGAATACATTGTACTTTACAATCACATCAACACACAGGCTGCAGCTGGGGAGAATCTAATAGAGGTTGAAAAGAACAAACAATGAAGAACTAAGTATTTGATCAAGGTTGACTATGTCAGAGAGGAACTCAGCAATGCAATTACATTTTAGAGGTGGCTCTGAAGGCAATGAGAAAAGAAGGCATCAGGGAATCAAGGAGTTGATGAACACGCCATTGTAAGAAAACAAGCATAAAGTGAAGGTAGAAAATACACAGAAAGAAATCTTAATTAAAGTGAAGTGGGCAAACAGACTTGTGGTGTGTTTATTTAACACCTAGCTTTTATGAGAAAGGGCAAAAAATCATTGCAAGTACTGTTCAGAAAACCTCTTTTGAACCAGAACTTGAGGGTCAGTCTGTACTGAAGAGAAGAGAAGCTGGGACTTGTAAACCTTCCTCCATCGTCAACATATGACCTTGAGCTTGCTAAGTGCTTCTCAACCCTGCCTGCACATGAGCAACACTGGGCGAGCTTTTAAAAACACTGATGATTTGAGGGGTGAACCTATTCTCCTAAGTCACATACAACATTGCAAACCAATGCTACTTCAACAAAAATAAATAAATAAAACCAAGTTTTGCCCCCTCCACGTCAAATAAAACTGTAACCCAGGAGGTCAGACTCTCGGGTGGGCTAGAACCTAAATTTGTACATTTTTCCAAAGGAGAGAAAATCAAGGAAGAAGTTCTGGCTTTACACATTCTGTCTTTTCACATTTTGTACCAGATAACTAAGTTTGTTGAAAAAAATTTAAATTAATAGCATCCAAAATTTAAAACCTTATTACTTTGAAGGAACTGAAGACTTATAGAGGTACAGTGACAGGCAAGGAGACCTCCATGCAAAGTATCAAGAACAGGATAGAGTCCAATCTTCAGTTGTCCAATAAAGGGCAACTGAAGTCAGTGCTGTTGCAGGCTGGGTTGGATCTCAGGAAGACAGGGAGTCCCAGTACTGACTAGGGGTTGAGGCCATTGGCTCTCAGGGGTGAGGGAAGCACCTCCCCTATGGTAATGATAAAGAGAAAAATAACCCTAGTCATTAAATTACTAAGCATCTGCACAAGCTGGATGCTGTGCTAAGAAGGGCTTTGCGCCTCCCATTGCTCTCGGACCTCACTATTATTATCCCCAATTTATAAATGAGGAAAACTGAAGCCAACTGACCTTCAGACCTTCGTCCAGCCTTCAAAACAGTGAAACTAGAATTTTAACAAAGTCATTCTCTCCCAATCCTGTATTGCCTCTGGGAATGTAGCTAGCAAGTATCTGAAGACAAGGCTACTCCCCCTACAGCTGTTTGGCCTTTTTTGTCACAAAGTGTTCCCATGTTGGAAAGTGGAAAAAGTAGCATCATGGAGTTTTCCTGATGCCCTAAGATTTTTTTCAAATTAAACAACTAATTTCTAGTTGGCAGAAGACATTTTATGGAATGATTTTTATCCTTCCCTCCCCATCCCCCACCCCTCCCCCACCCATGTACAGTTTCAATGGTGAAATTTAATTATACTATTTTGGGAGTTTCCGTTCAGGCAAATATCAGAAAAGTCATCACTAAATTACCCAGTCATTCATGACAGGTGAGTTTAAAGGCCTTACTGGAATCTCTGGAACATCATTTATAATGCACTTGGAAAAAAATGTATGCGACATTTCTGCACACATCTTGGAGAAGTATAATTGCTGTAGTTTGCTATGTCATTACGCGGACATTATATAAATTATTTTCTTCCTTTAAATAGCATTGCTATTGACTGTAATAAAATTTAATTTACAAATATCCTACATGCTTAATATGTTTTATTTAAGAGGCTAATGCAAAACATTACAGTTTCCAATACCTTAGGCATTATAATTATAATGTGGCAGAGTTATCTTCACAGCTCATTTTAATAATAATGCAAAAAGATGGTTTTCATTAAGACACTCTGGAAAGACAGTGACAATAAAAATAAAAACCCATTTTTGGAATTATAAGGATCCTGGAAGGTCATCAGATCCAACCATCTCTTTATCTTTGACTTGTTCCATTTTTAGGGGAGTTCTACATGGCATGGAATCTCTTCCTGGAGCTCTTGCTGACTGGATCTTGTTTTGCAGCCATCCCAGGCCTAGTAGGCTTACCGTCAGCTCTGGCCATTTGAAGAATTTTGGAATGCTTGGCATCATTTTCAGAGGTTTTAATGGTAGGCAGGGGAAACAAGCCAGCTTGAAGACAGCAACTTGAGTTCCCCTGAGACCCTCTATATGCTCTTTTTCTGGGCTTTCTGTGGTATTCTCCTGTGGCCTCTTTCATAGCCATCACTCATCCTCTCCTAGCCATGCTGCCACTGCAGTCTCTGATTACCGCTGCCCTTAGAGCCTGACCAGGTGTGCACAAGCGTACATACCCATGCTCAGTTGTCCATAGTCAGACACAGGTGCCCCATGCCCACCTGCCTTCTACAGTAACAAGATCAAGGCAGCAGGTGATAGCCACAGGGGCCAGTAGCATAAAAGCCTGGCCAGTTTCATTTACCCTACCCATATTCACATTCTAGTGCAAATACCTCACAGACCACTGTTCAGAAAAGGGGGATAACGCTGTTATTTTAGCAGAGGTAGCCAGCGATTGGGCCAGGAGTGAGCACCTGGCTCAAGAGGATCCCACAGACTGGAGAGTGACCCCCGAGGCAAGTTGTTACAAACATTTCTATCCAGAAAAGAAATGATAATCAGTCAAGCCAGTCAAGCCAGCTGTCTCCAGGATTTGAGCTGGATATGAGAAAGCAGAGGAGAGTCTGTTGAATATGTAGAATTATACAGAAAGGCCAGAAGAGGGACTATGGGCAAGAGGAACCAGTTCCTGAAGTTGTCACAAATTCTGATCATTTTCCACTTTCCAGATCCAGACAGAAGAGCACTGTGCTAAGTTCCTCCTCCTTATAGGGTGCCCAGAATAAGTCCATTCTGTTACAGTCCCAGAAGTCCAATATATATGTTCTTAAATCATAGGATATCGTTAATCAACTATGCTGGTACAGCTGCAAATGAGGTTTGACAACATACTCATTTCTATGTCAGTATTTTTGTTAGAACCAAGGGAAGGCTTTATTTCCACCACAACAATATTTCACTATTTTAGGGTGGGCTTGTTATTCCAAGCCACCAGAAAGTTTGACTTCCCAATTCTGTGTTTGCAAAATATTTGTTATGTCCTTCACCTTTCATGTCATCTACAAACTAGGCAAGCATGCTATCTAGAGTGACATACATGTCGTTAATAAAAATATTGAACACTATTTCACACAGAAAATAGTGGTATAAACAGACTGAAAACCAAATTGCTAATCAATTAATGAATTTATTTTAGTTGCAAGAACATCAGTTAATAATTACCAATCTCCAAATTGGTTGCAAATCACCCTGAAGGTAAAAATAGCTCCATAAACCGACATAACCACGCAATTCATTTTCCAGATAAAGGTTTTAACATTTACTTGATAGAGGTGGCAAAACCCAGAAGAATTAGGTTTCAGCATCATTAGAGAAAATTAGGTCATAGTTGAGATAATTGGCAACATGAACTTTGGAGTGAGAGTAATTATCTGTGCAATAGACCAAGAAGTCATGTTTGAGAAACATACTGCAAAAACAGCACCAAGTTAGCTTCAGTCTTCCCTGAGGTGATCATGAAAATTAGTAGAATCTGTCATTTTGGGTTATCCTATGTACCCCTGCCAAAGGGAAACTGTTCTCCATAGATCTCACTATTTGTCTAATTTGGCTTTCAGAAAGCTTTGTGGGAATCTCTCCTAGTAAAAAGCTCCACAGTGAAGTGCTCCCTCACACTGAAGTGTCTGCTTTGCCCAGTTTTTGTTTTTTCCACCATTACTGTCAGGCTATGAGGGTATAATTTCTCATGGGACCTACCTGGAAAAACTCCAACCCATCCTACCATTGTAACTTCTGCCCTACGAGCTACAAGAAGCATGAAGAAAGGGCAGCCTATGGACCTCCCAGAGGCGACTCTCTGCAAAGGATGGCTCTAGAGTGAGAATCTGGTGAGCAGGCTATTAAAACAAAGCATGACAATATGTGTTGATTTCACATAACCTCTGTCAACCATGCTGAGGTGTTCTTGGAATGCTCCCTTTTCTTCAGCAGTATTGAATTGTTAAGCTGCTTATTCAACAATCATTGCATCCCTTTCCTTTAAGTTTGGAAATGGGTAAGACAATTCAGTGTTGAAAACTTAAAATAACCAGTAAGAACAAAATGAAATAAGAACTGTTTAAATATGTTTCAGCTATAGCTACAATTTCCATCATGGCTCTGTTGGGGTTAAGCAGTAAACAAAGGAAGAGTTTCATAGAACATACTAAAACGGTTTCTTCTAAAAAGCCTACCTTTGTAAATTTTCCATTAGTAGACTCAATGGAAACTTTAATGCTAATAAAAAAATTCCTAACATATGTTCTTATCCTTTCTTTATCTAGTGGCCATGTTTCCTAGGAGCTATCACTAAGTCACAACTCTCCAAAACAAAAAAAATAAAATAAGAGCAAAACAAAACTTACCCACTAAGGGCATGGTGCTCAAGGAACCACAAGAAATGTAAAGATGAGTAAGCCT